ATTCGAATTCAAGAATGGCTACTCTTTCGTCGACGCCAGCTCCATCCTCTGAATATCGAGTCATATCCAACGAATCCAAGGTAGCCTGACTAGAAGATCTGGCTAATATTTCATTTATATGTAATGTTTTATTTATAATGATCTGTTTATTGTTAAGCAATAACACTGTATTATCAAAGATTAAATCAGAGATCAATAACAAAATCAGTAACAAAATGATAGTCTGATGTTAAAAGTACATACAATGTGAAATATAATAAACAGAAGTTGAAAGTAAAAAAATAACAACATAAGCAAAGTTTATATTTTACAAATACAATTTGAGGATAGATTTTAAGGATAGAAATATAATGCATGATGTAAAAATTCCATATTGGCTTGTAAATTAAGATTGTTTTCAAATTTTTTGTACAAAGCAATTGTCTTGTTTGCCACACCTTAGGGTTCTGACAAAGTAAGTCTGATTTTGTGACTAAAAAACAGGATACATACGCATTGAAGTATATGGCTCTGGTTTGATATTGGAGCTCTCGAAATTGTTAGGATTAGAGAAGAATTCCTTAAGGATGGGCAGCTCCTTGCCAGCTTCGCATAATTCAGCATGCAATTCCAAAGCCGTCAAGAAAAGCTTCTCGTTGAGAAGTTTTGTTGCCATCTCCTCATAGGATATCAATGTCTTTGGAGCCACATATCCTGAAGTAACAGTATTCGTGAAGAGTATTCCTGCAGTTAATCACTCTGCAGTTGTAATTATTTTTCAGCAGTTGGTTGTATGATTCATAATTAGTATATATTATAGCAAGGAGAAGGTTACCTCTGTTATTCGCGGGTAGAGATATTTCCTCGATGATACTCGCCATGATGCTATTACACTCAGGTACTTGTAAGGATAAGAAATGACATATCCACGTGAGACAATATTGGTCTGTCTTGCGTAGTACGTCGCTTTGACATTAAATACCATACGTATGTAACGGAAAATTATTATTTGTCAGATAAATGACAACTCATCTGACAGACGGTAATATTGCGATATACATAGATTGGCGACTCGTGCGCCAAGTAAACTCTGCAATGCTCTACAAGTACATAAAATTCCCTATTAAACGACCGATTAAAATTTAATGGCGAAAGCACTAGTGCATTAAACTCGTTGAACATTGATTTGAGTATAAAAATCAAATGCAAATACTTTGAATTATGAAATACATATTTTAGCTAATAGTACAATAAAATGCATTGGGTATTTCACGATTTAATCAATTTCCATGTTTATTTATAAACATATTTTTGCGTTATTTTGTGCACGACGGCTTTAATGTGCAGAGTGCGTCCAATCGAATTCGCTATAAACAAATTGACTGATTTTTTAATGGCTTTTTAGTTACTTTTTAATCTCTTAAGATTGCGCACTAATGTATTTTAACTTCAAGAGAGGTTTAAAACTCTCCATCTCTGTCTCCTCTCAACTTAATAAAAAAAAGTTTTTAGTCTCACTTAAAGTCAAAGTAATATTAGTGCAATCGAGCAAGTTTTTAAAAAATAAATTATACAACTTCTCTCATTTATCAACATAAATGATTTTTATTGATATATATAAAAATTATAGAAAGTAACTTAAAGATGTCACAAAAATGTCAAATTAGTGCCATCCCTTTTCTTTTCATTTATATATATATAATCTAATTATTAAGAATTTGTTACAATTATTGGTCAAAGTAAGATTGTTGATATAATAATATAAATGAAGGATTTATTTTATTAAATTGATTGCAACGTTATCATTTTGTATGTATTACATATGTTTGACATTATATCTTAAGTCATATATATTATTGACATTTACAAAGCATGCACGAAAATGCATAGAGTATAAACGTCACGTTCTTTATAGTTCATTAATTCAATAAATTTAATGTTAGTCCAATTAAATGTTTTTTTAAAAAAGCACGTCTTCTAATATCTTCTCTAGAAACGCCATGCTTTCTCCCAATCTTCCACTTTCGTCTAAGATGAGCAGACGTAAATTCGAGGGATTCAAGGGAAACCATCGTCATCTTCCTCGGCCATCTCTTTGGCCAGCTCAAGATCCTGTTGTTCCCGCTCTCTGCGCTCTTCCGCGGATTCCAAATCCTTCCCGTAAGATTTCGGTGGGTAACGCATTGCTTTCACGCTCTGATTGTGCAGGTCCAGGCAGAAGGTGATTCTTTGATGGAAGGCCAACAATGGCTCCTTGGTGCAGTAAATATCCGTGGTCTCCTTGCTGCGCATGTAGCCGTTCTCTGGATCCAAGGTGGCCTCAATAACACCATCACGGATCGCTTTAGCCACAATAAACTCAGCATCCACGCTGGAGTCCAAACCTAGTTTGCGAGCGATGTCAGCTGGCGAGATGCGCGAATAGGAGAGCCCAATCGAACGGATCGCAGTCTTGATGACGTTGTGCCGCAGCCGCAGGATCAGCGTGAACGTGTGATCCGCGCGGAACTGCGGGCCAAAGTTTTCCAGGACCTCACCGAAACGTTGCAAATTACCCAGACGTACCGCCTGTGTCAATTGAAAGTACGGGGCAAGGGCTCTTCGTAGAGCGGCCTGTCGGAATATCTGTCTCTCTGGGATGTCGCCAAGGAGAAGCTCCACGGCGACCGCCAACTTCTGTACAGTTTGTCTAAATCCAACCGCCGTAGTCTGCGGCGCTTTGCGCATCGCCTGTACTAGATATTTGTGCGCGGCCGAGTACTCCAATCTAGCAGCCTTTATCCTGCCGAGGTAATAGAGGAAGCGAGCCCACTCGTTGTTGCTGGCCGATTCGGGAAAAGTCGACTTGAGCACCAGCTTGTCCGCTTGATCGTAGAGATTGTAGTGCAGATAGTTGCGCAACAGGCAATTGATCAGCACCGCCTGGCCTTCGAAGTCGTTGCGCAGAGTTGCAGTACGCAGACGAAGATGTAGAAAGCCACGGATCTTGTCCAGCTGATCCGTAAGCTCGTATGCGCGCGAGTGATAGAAGTAGCATTTCGCGGCGATCAGATCTATGGTCCTACGGTTCTGCGCGGCAATCTTCTGGACCAGCTGCTCCGAGCACTGCACCGCCTCGTTGTACTTACCGGTGTCGATTAGTCGAATCAGCACCAGCAAATGAATGTAGCCGTCGATCTCGGGGAGTAGAGATGCCGAGGAACTGCGAAACTTCTGGGTGATGGCCTGACAATCGTCCACGTCCATCGACTCCTCCACCCAAGCGAGCAGGGCGTCCCGTTCGACAGCGGACTTGGTGTAGAAGCCCGTGACGAGGCCGCGTAGGACGACCGGATTGAGACGACGACGAGTGTTGGGTAAGGCGCGAAGGGCACGGAGGACGAAACGTGGCTCCTTGTTCTGCACCGCTTTCTCGATTTGCCGCGTGTGCTCCCGAATGTCGCACAGAGTCTGCATATCGGTGTCCCTGCGTTCACCCGCGCCGTCACCGTCGCCATTTGCGTTCTGCGTGTCCGACGGATTCACGTCCACGTCCATCGCCTCGACGTTTCTACCGGTCGCGGTCGGTACACCCATCGCTATCCCGTAATAACTGTCTTAACTTGTATTAACTTGTGACCGCAGTCTGATACTCTGATTCACGACGTCTGTCCACTCTGTTCGTCGGTGAACCGTCACGGACAAGTACTCTTTCAACACTTTTCTTCGGATCGGATACCCGCTCAGGGCGCTCAGGTTCTCATCGTCCACCTCTAATGTTGTATTATTGCATATTTGTGCAATTCACGTTTCACGACATACGTTTCAAGTAAGGTTAGAACGCTCAGTCGCTTATTGGTGCACTCGGCTGTGCTGTGTTCGCTTGGAGGTGTGTAGGTGCGTTCCACTCAGTTCCACTAAAAAAAAATGTCCGCACGCTTGCGACGCCCGCAAATCCACATAAACGACCGCGTTCGTGTGGTCGCGACTATTGCTGGATTCACCCTGCATCCGATTTTCGTCGTACGACGCTCTTCATCCAATCAGAAAACAGAATTCCAATGATACGAAGCAAAATCCATCGGAATCCTGTTTTCTGATTGGTTGCAGAGCGTCGTACGACGAAAATTGGATCCAGGGTGAATCCAGCAATATGCTAGATCTGGGATAATCCCAGAGCTCTGGACGGCTCGTTATTCCCTGTTGCCTGTGCCTATTGCCTGTGTCTATTGTGTTTCCAGCTTTACAGTCGTCCTACTTGATACTAGAGTCCTAGATTTATCACACTTCTTGAACTAGTGCAAGTAGTGCAGAGAAAAAAACAAACCTATTGTGATCCCATGGTATAAGGATAAGGGTATGCTCACGCCGTGGATACCCACTGCGCAGTCAAAGTGTGACGTCACTCTCAGGGCCAATCAGACCGCCCAAACGAAAACATGGCGGCTCCTGATGCTTGACACGATATTAATGTTCGGTGTTACATACACAATGTCCTGTTCTGTGAAAGGTTGTGGCAATTATTTTCGCAAAACAAAATTGCTTAATGGAAACAGTATAAAATATTGCTGTAGAAAATAGATATAAGAATAAGAGAAAAAAGTTAATGAAATTTACAAATAATAAATCCTTTTCATAACATTTGTATATACGTGTTATTATTATTGTTGATATTTAACTATCCCCACAAAGGGTAACCTTAGGGCCTGCGCATAAGAGAGAAAATATTAGAAATAGATATTAAATATAAGATAATAAATTTCATAATAAATTCTTCTATCTTTATTGAGTTTGTAATGTTTACTTATGTTACATTTTGTTACAGGATATTCATTAGTTCTTAAATTATTTCAAAACGTATTTTTCCCTGTAAACTTTAAATAAAAATAAAATATCTGACGAGAATGCTGCTAACATAAGTTGGTTGGAAACAGCAGTTTTAAATTTACCGCTTGTTGTGTGACGTCACACTTCGACAATTTTGATTGGTCGCATGCGCGTGAGCATACCCTTATCCTTATACCATGTTGTGATCCCTAGAGGCAGAATTCGGATAACGATGGCCGTTAGCGCTTCGCGTGTAGAGGAGCTAATTAATTATTTTAAGTCACATAACAAAATTCGAGAACAACAGAGCCATTCGGCGAAGGTGCACAGCGTAGGATGGAGTTGCGACGGCAAATACTTAGCTTCGGGCTCCTTCGACAAATCCGTTTGCATATTCTCGCTGTGCCCGGATCGTTTGGTTAGTAAACATAACCTATCATTCCTTTCACGCGGCGTGATTTGCGTCACTATAAAATGAAAACTCCGTGAAATTTTTCATACAACTTGACATAGTATTTTATTTTAATCATTTTTGTTTCATTAATTATTTATCTGTAAAATCGATAATTAGAGAACTGTGAATATTAATATGTAACAGCCGATATTAGAACGAACCAATTGTATCAGATGACATTATAGCTGTCCTTTTTGGACGATTCCTTCTGATTTGTAAAAGAAAATGTTAAACTTTGTTGTTTTAAGGGAGCCATATAACTATAATAAGTTCAATAATACTGCTTTTATTTCCTTTTTTGGTGTAGTTATTCTTAAAAAATTTGAAATGAAAACAAGAATCAAGTGACACATCAGAATATCTTGTAATTTTTCTTTAAAATTATATCTGTTTGAATTTAAATACCTTTTAAAAAATTGCGTTTGAAATATTAAAATTTTTCAAGTTAAAAAATAATTTACTTTATCATTTGAAATAAAGTCATTTAAAACCTTTAATTTTTAATATTAAATATAATAATTATATTTTTAATATTAATATGATTCTTATCATGGATTTGATTATCAAGTTTTTAAAATACTTTTTTTTTAATTCAGAAGCAGGAAACGACTTTCAGAGGACATGGCGGTAGCGTAGACCAGTTGTGCTGGCATGCTTTTTGTCCAGAATTATTATCTACTGCAAGTGGAGACAAGACAGTTCGCATCTGGGATACAAGAACACAAAAGTGTACAGCAAATATTAGCACTAGAGGAGAAAATATTAACATATCATGGTCGCCAGATGGTAATACAATTGCTGTAGGAAACAAGGAAGACTTGGTCACGTTCATCGATGCTCGGGTGATGAAAATACGTGCAGAAGAGCAGTTTAACTTTGAGGTAAACGAGATCTCGTGGAATAAGGATTCAGATACGTTTTACCTGACAAATGGCCAGGGTTGCGTGCATATACTTAGCTATCCAGAGCTGGAGTTGTTGCATGTGATCAAGGCGCATCCAGGTACTTGTATCTGCATTGAGTTTGACCCAACCGGCCGGTATTTCGCCACTGGATCCGCGGATGCACTGGTCTCTCTGTGGGATGCCGACGAGTTGTGTTGCTTGAGGACGTTCTCGCGGCTAGAATGGCCAGTTAGGACTATCTCCTTCTCATATGACGGACAACTCCTAGCAGCGGCTTCCGAGGACTTAGTCATAGACATCGGCGAAGTGCAGACTGGCGAGAAGATTGCTGATGTTCCAGTAGAAGCAGCGACATTCACTGTTGCATGGCATCCAAAACAATATCTCTTAGCTTATGCGTGTGACGATAAGGACTCTTACGATCGGAAACGCGATGCCGGTAGTTTAAAGGTATTTGGTTTTGCAAATGATTGAATTTCATTGTTTTGTATCTTTTGTTTTAGATCTTGTTGTGCTTTCGAGAAATATTGTCATATTTCATAAGTATAAAACACAATATTTTATAAGTAAACTCAAATGATATTTCACTATCATTATCCTATAATGGAGATTAGGATATGTGACATAAAAACTGAACTGTATTTAAAATGTTAAGAGTTATTATAAATGTAAACACATAAAAGTAGACAATTTTTATGTAAATGCGAATATAAAAGATCGATGAATATTATGATTTGATAAGATAAAATATAAATTTGATAAGGTATATATGAAAAATGAATTTGGAAAGAAATACTTAATAAATTTATGGAACATATTCATTAAATTTCTGAAAATATCAATATAAAAAGATAGGCTGCACGTTTCAGCAGAACTTTATACGTTGTCCTATCGATTATACTCGGAATCGATTTATTGATTAGAATTCTCGAGCGTATCAAACATGAAACTTTTGTTGACCGTTCGGTCGGCATAGTTACCGTTTGGCTTAGGTTTTATTCGAGCCATATGAGTCACGTTGTTTCATCGCGCGATCATCAGTGGGAACTTCGCATTCCTTGCTGATCTCACTCTACCTCCTTCGATGATCATCTCGCTATGGCGAAGCAGAATGAAACAAACGTCATCTGCGAATGTCGGTACGCTCTTAAAGAAGAACCGCAAGAGACGAAAGACAGCTTCAATAACATCCCGAATATTCACGAGATCGATGAGGCAGATAGCGAGACCGAAGAAATGACAGCTTTAGACCATCTAGGTCCTTTTGCTTCGGATGAAGAAGGTGATGAAGTTCTGCAGAAGACTAAGGACACGTCGGACGACGAATCCGTGTATATAGGCGAGTCTTTCTGCTCCGACGAGTCCTGCGATGAATCCGAAGTTACAAATGTCACGTCAGGATCACTGAATACTTCGTCTCTGATCCATGTCACTGATCTCCCGCTCAGCCAGAGTTCGAAGGAACAGGAAATTGGAGTTAGTGAGTCAAGCTGGAAAGACAATTGCCAGGATGAGTCTTATTTGTCCAGTGATGAACTGCCTCGCGCCACCACAGCAGATAGAGATAGGTTTACCAAGTCAAGAAAGTGCAGACGGTGGAACATGAGCTTCACCGACGAGGAAATGCGCAAGATCCAGCGGGAGAACGAGTTACTGCTGAGGAAGATTATGGCACAACAGAAACCTCGACACAAAATCCTTGGCGAGGATACCGTTCAATCTAGGACTAGCAGTTCCGCGATAAATAGAAAGAAGTTGCAAAAGAAGATAGAAAATGATAATATGGTATGTTATTTCAATATCACAGAGATACAAAGTATAAAATAGATAAATGGATATATGTTTCTGTATCTTTTCTTCGTTTTTGTAAATCGAATACAATAGCTGTGCAGCGCATAACGCGAAAACTTCATTTGCAGCTACTCCTCAGAAGGATACAACAGGCGAAATCTTGCGTTTTCACAAATACATCGAAAATGGGTTGTAGATTGACCTTTTTGTAGAATTTTTACAATACTGAAAAGGATTGAGTTTCATTTCGTTATGAAACAAAATCAACCACATCAGCGGACTAAGATAATCAACTGCTACTGTAAGGAAAAAACATTGGGGTATAAATCAAGAAGTTAGGCCTTATCATTTTTTAGTATGACTCCTAAGTGGTCGCCGCAGCTCTATTAGGTTGTGCTATCATAAGCAAGAAATGACACGTTGAAATTTCTTGCATACCATTTGTAAATAAAGAGTTTGAATGAAAGAAGATAATGAGATCGCTTTAAAACATTTATAAAAATGAGCCAAAGCTATGCTTACCTCTCATGATAGTAAATAGGTGTAAAAAGCAAGCAAAGTAAAAATACGTTAAGATTTTAAGTTTATTTTCATTTTATGTGCCTTTTACAACTATTTACTGACTCGGGGGAGGGGAAGAGGGGATAGGATAGTTTCGGTTCATTTTTACAAGTGTTTTAGCGCTTCCATTTGTTTCATTCTCTTTACAAATGATAAGCAAGAAACTTCAACATCTCATTTCTTATGACTTCACAATTCAATATGATCACGGCGACTAGTTGGGAGCTTTAAATGTAATATTTATGTAAATGTCCGTTTTGAAATAACTTACGATGGATTTTGACTCTATAAAGAAAATCCTCTGTAAAGTTCATACTTTCTCGAAAACAAAATATTATGCTTTTTTGTGACTTCTTTATTAAAACACAACGATTACCAGTCTTGAAGAATAGGTACACATTTCTTTAACTTCACATTTCGTGTATACGGCGCAATCTTGTAAACTCGTCTCTTGAAAATTTGCTTGAAGCTATCTCTACAAGACTATAAAAAATCACAGTTCTCACTCATCTCAAATAACTTAATTATCACTCATGGTTAATATAAAAAATTGGGAACTCTCGAATATTGTGACGATTCTCTTTTTCTTTCTTTTTTCCCTTGCACTATATCATAGATATAGTATCCATTACATTCATATACGAGCAATATCGTAAGAGAAGAGAAAGGGTGTATTGTGTGTTAAGGAGCAAATTATAAATTTCTGTAGAAGTAATGTATAATGATATAGTTTCCTTTAAATTAATGTGTGCTGCGATTATAATATATGAAACTGTATTTCTTTTTTTAACTTTTTCTTATCGATCTTGTAATTCCATATCCATATGTAAAATTCCGTATATATTTCCATTTCAATATAATTGATCGATCATGTGTTCACTCTTTTTATATAAATTTTTTTAACAAATCAAAGCAACAAAACAAGTTATTCGTTTATCCTGCACGAAATATCTTATCAGTAAATAATTTAAAGTATTTCAGTTGCTTTAAATAACGAAATAGAAAATAAGTATTAATATCTAGATTTTGGTTTAAGAGACTGCAAATAATTTGTTTGAGAGACTATTCACCTGTGTTACTATTGTATAACATAATAGTAACAATTATATCACAAAGTACGCTCAGCGCAGTAGCAACAAAACATAACAATTTCCGATTTAAATATGTTATCGCGGTCGCGGCAATTATTTCGCAGCCATTAAGACCGTCGTTATTATCTTTCATCAAAAAATTATGAAGTAAATATAAGATATATATATATATATATGTATATACACATATGTATATATATATATATATCTCACAAAATAAAACCTTCAAAATTTCAAGTCATTAATTTTCACGCCTCGTTTTCCACGATTCCGTCGATGATGGAGTCCATATTGTGTTGAGTGAACGGAACGGATCAAATCCCGATCTTTCCTGAAATGATAATTGAAAATAGTTATAGTTACGTGAAAATCAAGGTTTTTTTACTGAGCTCGCATGCACTTTCCATAACAGCAATCGTGAGATGTAATGTAAGAGTCGGCCAATCAGAGTTGAAAATTTTTGACTGATTGACTAATTCTTACAGTACATCTTACAATTACCGTTATGGAAAGTATGCGCGCGGTCCCTTATACTCGTTAACCACATACTTGTGAGTCCGCCTCAGATTGTAATGTTTGCGACAACATGGGAGGCGCAGCCGCACCCCAGGGTGCTGCAGCCCATACACCTCCTGTATTAATTCCCCATACACCACGTTCCTCTCCGACTGCTGCCCTAGTGTGTAATGGTTCCCAATTCGTATCGACTGTCCAATTATCTGTAAGTATATAGATAGTGTTCGTGAATTACAATCTAAATTCCTATGAAGATAAATATATTCAAAAATAAAAAAACAGTCAGCTAAAGAATTATACGAAGTATTATGTAAGTTTAATATAAAGGAAAGCTTACTATAGAAATTAATTTAGAGTTTTAAGATTTAATATTCATTATTAAATAATGTAATTTTGAAATCTAGTATAGCATTACAAAAAAAGATAACAAATTATTTATTTTATAAAAAACGATATAATGCGTTATTTTTATAAAGTAACGCTTCTAATCTTGCTTAAATTTTTTCTAAATAGATAGCTAATATACCTTTCAAGTCAGACAAAACAGGTTTCTCCGGAGTTTTCGGTGACTCTAATTGAAATCCGTTTGTACTCTCAGATAATAAATTTATCATAGGACTAGTGTCTTCCCACAGTTGGCACCGTGTGTCTTCTTCGGGGGTCTCCAATTCTACTAACGGTTCATCTGTTTCTGGAAGATCGTCGTACGGTACCAGCTCACATTCAAACTGCTGATAATTTAACAATTAAGAGTTTCATCACATGATATTCGATAAAGTTAATTCAAACTGCGACTTACTGGATGTTCTGTAAAAGTATTGATGAAATAACTATTCGAATGTTGCGATTTGGATTGCAAAATTGAAGGATCTGTCTCAAGTGATTTATTATTCACGGTTGTACTACAGAGAAGGACTGGATTTGACATCAAACTGTATTCCTTTAGTGTTGGCGACGACTCTTGCGCCAATTGAGATTTAGCACACTGAACGTCTTTAATATCAGTATTAAATATCGTGGACAGATTTGACATGTTCGTTTGACTTTTGTGATTCATGTGATTTAAATTGGAAAACGACGAGACAATCTCTTGACTTCGCGCCACTACATCGCTGAACTTGGCCCTGTTTTCGCCCCAACAGGAGGGCGGAGGTGGTAAGGGGGTGGGCATTGTCCCTATGATACGTGTTACATCCTCTTTTTGACTTGCATTTCCATTTATAGGAGGAGCTGCAATGAATAAAAATGAATATTTTTATCTATACAGAACACGTATTATGGAACTAATCGAAATTATTCCATTTGCCTAGAAAACGCAACAATAATATAGAGAATAATTGAATGATTCAGATCAAAATCCATTCCAGATAGTTCCACAGGATATACCTCTACTATTTTAGCTAGTATTTTTGTTCTATTATGATAGATGATTTGAATACATACATTTAATGTGTATTTTGTCAGCTACACGTCGTTTCTGCACAGTCTTCTCCTTTCGTGGTGGATTCTTATTTTGACGTGACAACTTAAAGGATGATTCGACAGTACGTGAAGTATGAATATGCTTTGTGTTGGATCTAGTAGTGT